AGCCAGGATTTAGAGGTGCATGCCTGCAGGGGTTATGTCCCAACTACTACGTAGTTACAATTCGGAGTGAGTTGGGGAGCTGACTTTAGGATCATTTAAGAAACCCGCTTTATTACTATCCTTCTTTGTTTCTAAAACACTGAAAAATAATATTAATACAACTAAAAATTAACTGACTGGTAACAAGAGTTTAAAAATTCCTTTAGTTAACTTTTGAGAATTTATTATCATTAAGTTGTAATTGAACTTAATGATAACTGAATAGAAGTTATTAGTGAAGTAATTTGTGTGTGAAAAAAACTTTAGCATGTCAAAAGCAGAGACCTTCCGACCATTCAACGCTCAAAGCCATTACGTGTTTTTTGACCAATCAATGACCAAAGTCATCACGTGATTATCAAGTCAGAAAGTGTATATTATGATTAAATTCCACGCCACCACCCGTAATCCCGAAAAAACGTGTTCCACGTAATACACCTGTTTTATCTATAGCTTTACGAAAGTTTAATTAATTCTGGGGGCCTTTACGAACTCTGGAGAAGTAGCCAAAAAGATTACTGAATATAGACAAGGCTAGTTATTATAGCAATCTGCTATACATGAGGAAAATTTGCTCTGAATCGTGTCTGCTTCGAAATTTAACATAAATTTATACAAATAGCGATCAATATTGGAGAATTTCATGGGGCATATTCCGAATTTAAATAGTCAAATTTAATTCGTCTGGTTTGCTTTCTTAAGTTCAAAAACACAATGTACATCAAGTTGTTAAACATTAGTACCTTCTTTCGATACTCTTGCTAAAAAATATGTAATCACCTTTGCTCTTCTGCTTATCACGAATGTTACTTTTAGTGCTTGATCTGTTTCATAATTCCCTCTGCTAAATGACTGTCCTACCTATCTTCTCAACGTGGAGCGTGTTTTCACTTATATTCCCCAATGGTCATTGAAGTAATTTACATTTTCATATTGGTTTTCTATTTCTTTTCCATATAGTAATTGAGGGAGATATTCTAACGTTTATACTATTTACGAGTAAGCAATACTAGTATTAATCTTATTTGTTCTTGTGCGTTATCCTGGTCTTTTTCAATGTCAGTATTATATCCGCTATTCGTAAGTTGACTATCCACTGAAAACTGGAAAATTCCATAAAACACACAAAAAAGCAGAACAATTCAAGTCAAGTGTTTATGAAAAACTTCATCAAAGAGATTAATATGACAAGATTTCAGAATTCTAGATATTGCCCTAGTACATTGCACTGTTGACTTAATGCCAAGTCCTTCATGCCGAAACAAATCTGTAAAAAAAAACAGGAGAATTCACTTGGTTTAAAATGCATCTGAAAAAAAGCTACTAGTTCCGTAAAAATGGGAGGAGAAAAATCATTTAAATTTGCAAATGTTTATGCTTTAATCCAAACATTCATTTATTATTATTGTTATTAGTTCATATTGCCCAATCGGGAATCAAACAACTAATTATTGAAATGAATGAAAGGCAATCTTTTTACTTATGATCTCTCGGGTTTCGAAATATATTATTTTGGCTAGAAAATGGTAGGCTAATGAAATATATGAACTTAAGCATTCAGGTAACCCACTTTCAAAAATTGCTTTCAAGCTGTTAAAATTCGTCATGGTATTCGGAAATCAAAAAAATTATATAGAAGCCGGAAGTTGCAGTAAGTGGAAATTTTCAATTTTGAGAAATATAGATTGGGTGCCATAAATAATTTTATTGAAGAGCATTTCTATGTTGTCTATTGATTTCTACTTTAATCTTCCTTCAAGGGCATGATTTATACCCCATCTCGTAGGAACGATTTTCCAATATTCACCAATCGTTCCTTATATTAGAAATTATCATTTAAAAAGGGCTATTATAAAAACTAATAGATTTTATCTGTCTCCTGATGTAGACAAGAATTTCAAATGAACACCTCTGATTATCGAATGATTTAGTACTGATGAAGTTATCATCCCAAGATCCGAACTTTAAAAAATAGTGCTTAAACTCTATTCAAATCTTTTTTCTGACTGAATTTAAATGAACGAAACTCCGTTAGTTACGTCACTATTGTGTTTCCATTCAGAAGGCGTGGTGACTATGAAACTGCCTATCAATTTTACTAACTGAATCAAATTAAATGGATGGCAAGGTTAGTGCCATCACTTCATTCTAAATCGAGAGATTTTGCTCAAAAGTTTGGTCCTCTTTAATTCAAATTTATCCCGCTTTCATTCCACAGTTCTTTAGATGTGTGAATTGTTGCCAATTTCTTAATGTAATGTGAACTATTTAAAGGGAAATATTAAGAACACATATGGCAATTAAGTAAGTAATATCTAATGGCATTAGATGCCAAATGGCAAATGCATTAAATGGATGCATGGGTTGAAGCGGTCACTAACGCCTTATAAATCGAACATGGTATTCAGTTTTAAATGACTCATTCTTACAATCTCTAATACCTGCACCAACTATTTCAAATTGTCTAATTTGCTATTTAAATCATTAAAAATTATGCAAATTATGGTCAAATTTTAATGGCTTTGAAATGAATTGGTAATAAACATACAAATTAAATTACCAAAGCAACTTTGCGATTTCAATGCTAGTGAAACTGACATTGTTGAACTCCATACATTTTGCTCATTTGTTCAGATTTCATGCAAAGGCTGATGCGGTGGTAGTATAAACACCTGCCAACTTAAATAGCACTTAAATGTTGTAAGTGCACACCCATCGATTGATAGTGCTCAGAGGTGGAATGAGAGGACTACTTAAGGTTATGATTGTGCACTCTCCTTTGAGTGGCGCAACAGTTATGCAAGACAAATTAAGATAAAATAGGAATGGTCTTTTTTAAAAATGCAAAAATGTTTAATTTGCTACAAGTATATTGCTGTTCTCGTGAACATTGAATTGGATTACATTGGTGATCACATTCCAGCAAGATTTCAAAAGTTAAACAAGATAATAAAGTATATTATGAAATAGGGAGGCTGGACGAGGAAAAATTTAGATTCCTCTCAATTCCGCGAGGAGGATTCTTTAGCTAAGAGAGATCATTAGTCAATTGAAATTAATATCAATAAGAAATTTCTTTAATTTTTATTCGTTAAATGTTATTAAACGTAGGAGGTAAATTTGAAGATAAGGCTGATTTTTCTGTTATCCTATTTTTAGTTCGCAAATTACAAATAGATTGATTTGCTTTATCCCATATGAATTTAAGACGTTTTTCATTTTACTTTCAACTACAAAGTTTCACTAGTATAAGTATTTTAAATAAGCACACACCCCTCTGAAATTTTAGCACTTTCTTCGTCAACCACCAGTCGAAACTTTTTTCTTGAGATAAAGCTCACGTCTATGTACTCGTAGATTTTAATCATATTAATCTCTAAAAATGTGCATTCAAATAGCCTGTTACAACTAACAGTCCTTAAATCAGAGTCACTATTAACATGCGTATTTTTATTCATATTTGAATTTGAATCGTGAATAAAGATTTAGATAGACCTCTTATTTTAATATTGGGTGGGCAACTAAGTCATTGCCGTTTTTGTTGACAGATTCACTCTACTTTCTTTTGTTTTGTTAACGTCGCCAGAGCATCTAACCTATATTTCTTTCTTACTGTATGGGCTTCTAGGTTAATTAGTAAAAAATATTTTTTGTTTAGTTCTTTAGTTTTGTTTTTATCCCAATTTAAAAACGAAAGAACAGGACGTGCACTTCCGACACATTTTATTGTATTACTTCCGAAAAGGCAAGAACGCATCGCAAGCACAAAAGAAGTTATGTGCCGTATATGGAGATGAAGCCTTAAAAGAAAGGCAGTGTCGAAATTGGTTTAAAAGATTTCGTTCCGGTGATTTTTCACTGACAAATTCACAACGATCTGGCCGCCCAGTCGAAGTGGATGAAACCCATATCAAGGCCATTATCGATTCAAATCGTCACAGCACAACACGAGATATTGCAGAGAAGCTCAATGTGTCGCATAGATGCATTGAAAAAAAAATGAAAAACCCTTGGTTATGTCAAGAAACTTGATTTATGGATCCCTCACCAGTTAAAGGAAATTCATTTGACGCAACGGATTAGCATCTGTGATTCGCCGCTACTGAAACGCAATGAGAATGATCCATTTCCGAGGAAGAACCTAGTTACTGGCGACGAAAAGTGGATAGTTTATAACAATGTTACCCCCAAGAGATCGTGGGTGAAGCAAGATCAACCAGCCCAAACAGTATCAAAAGCAGAGATTCACCAAAAAAGATTATGCTGTCAGTCTGGTGGGATCACAAAGGAATTTTGTATTTTGAACTCATGCCGCTGAACCAAACGATAAATTCAAATGTGTTTGTTGAACAACTCGAAAAACTGGAGGATGGATGCAATTGAAGATAAGCGGCCGGCATTATCAAATCGGAAGGGTGTTGTTTTCCACACATCTTTGGTAACGCAAGGCCCCACACATCTTTGGTTACTCGGCAAAAGTTATTGAAACTGGGTTGGGATGTTTTGTCACACCCACCATATAACCCTCACCTTGCGCCTTCGGATTACCATTTGTTTCGTTCCATGCAAAACTCTTTAAATGGTAAAATTTTTAACAACGCGGATGATGTCGGATCACACCTAATTCAGTTTTTTTAATAGCAAAGACCAGACATTCTACGAACGGGGAATTTTTACTCTGCCAGAACGATGGAAAAAGGTAATCGACAAGAACGGCCAATATCTAATTGAATAAAGTTATATTTTTAAACAAAAATTCCGAATTTGCCTTCTTATTTGAAATCGGCAATGACTTAATTGCCAACCTAATAGAACTACGTCAAATGTATGAGGGCTGAATACGTCCCACTATTTAATAACTAGCAAAGCGAAACCAAATGATTTTGTAGATTTTAAAAAGATAAGATAGTTGGCACATCAAGTAGTTTATGAAGAAGTATCACAGATATGCATAACCGGATTTAAAGCCTCAGTTCCCGAACAGAACCTTCCCCATTCTCATCTCTATCGAAATCCATCTTGTCAGCGTCCTTTTCATCAAATTCGGAAATCTCATCATCTCCAAGTCCCACTATTGCCTTCATCTTTCTGACGTGGGGCTACAGCAAAAGAAAAAGGATATGAAGGAAGATAGACTGGAGGAATTAGAATTTAGTTGTTAAAGAAGATATTTACCGATCCACCCACCTTTGCTGAGGATTGGGGAGGTATACAAGAGGGCAACTTTGAATAAAGCCATACCGCTTGCCAGGCCAGCAATGACTGACTAACAGGTGTTTTCGTGTTCATTCCTATTTGCAGAAGAAAAAACTCCATTTGGTTAAAGCTTCCAAATGTCCTAAATACACAACAATTGACTTCATAAGATCAAGTTATTAAAACTAACAACAAAGCAGGTGGCATCTAACATTGGAAATCACTTTGTGCAAATGTCAACCATCAACTAGTATAACTACCAACAAGGGGAACCTTCTAAGTTCAAAATAAACATACATAGCCCAACTTTGTGGTGTTGTGGATATACATAGGGGGGCTTCATAAAAATAGTTTGAGGCTCAAAAGGTCATTTCGAACAGCATACCAACTTTCAATCATTAACTACATGTTATGTAATTTGAAAATATTGGTTAAACAGAGATTAATTCAAGTGGCCAATTAAAATCTCCATAAAATCATGTAAAAAATAAATCATAAAAAGCTCATTCGGGAGATAAAATTGAGACTTATTCAAATTTAAAGTACCCTATCAATTTCTGAGCACTTGTTTCGTCTATAACTGATCATTAAGGAAAAGTTTTCTTCCCTTTTCTATTAATTCGGAATCCGAGTGTACCGCTCAGATATATTATAAAGTGAGAAAAAGGTCACCTGTGAAAAAAGAGACAATTGTGGAGAAAACAAATCCAGTAAACAGACAGGCTGGGGTGATGTAGAGATAGGAGAGGTTGAAGAAGGAGAATGGATAATCCTGAAGGGACGATGAAGCCGTGGAAGTAGGAGCAGTTGAAACATTCGTGCAGCCCGACACAGAGAGAGGAGGTGGATTGGGCTCCTTGAAGGTGTATAAGTAAATAGAGCCGACCATCAATGTCAGACCTACGGCTAAACTAGTCAGAAATCCAGCAAGTCCGCCCTGCATGATGGAGAGATAAAAAAGGTAATCAACCTAAATAAGGGACCAAAGTTGGAAGTGGCCCATTGCTAAAATTGTGCATCTAAACAAAAGTCAGAGATAACGAGGTCGATGCAATTGTTAACTGCGAATGTAAACTGCTATTGTTATCGAAGGAAAGTAAATGCCTCTTAAGCGTTCCTACTGAAGTTAGGTGCAATGAGACTCCAAAAATGAGATTGGAAACGCCCAGTTTATGGTAACTAACAGATCCGTATCTAAAATAAAAACAAAGCCATGCCTCAACTCAATTCGGTCAATTCAAAGTTTTTGCTTTCTTATTTCCACTTCGTTTGTTGAATTACGAAGACTCAAGTAAGTGCAAACCTTAGTGCTTAAGAACCAACATCTTTAAAATAAAATAAAGCTTTTACAATTGTAAAAATATCACAACTCCGCAGATGGTTCGATTGACGGAATGGCTCGTATTTATTTTACTTCTTTTGGACAGCCAATTATATATTCAAAAAAATTCTGCTCATTTATTTTATCTTGTTGCACATCATCGCAAAAGAATTATAGTCTATAGGATAGCAGTCATTCCGAAGACTAGGTTATGAAGCAGATAATAACGTGAGAGAGAGAGAGAGTACGCACCCACTTGTTGACAAAGGGACAGATCATGCCGATAGTGAAGACTGTTAAAATGGGTCCGCCAATAGCACCGAAAATGGAGAAGGCCATCTGAAGGATGCCGGTAGGGACCACTTGTAGAAGAAAGGCCAGTCCAATTATCAAAAGACCAAGCACAAGGGCTGAAACAATAAACATCTGGGTAGGGAGGAAAAAAATGCTCTGAGTGAATTCATGTTTGCACACCTATTAGGCGAGCTATGAGAGTGACTGTTTTCTGCTTGAGTCCAGAACCTTTGTGATATGTGAGATAGATGTCCATGAACACATCTTCCATCAAAACACAGGCGATTCCATTAACGCCAGAAGAGAGTGTGCTCGATGGAAGTAAATGCAGTGTATTCAGTTTTTAGACATTCATAAAGTGATGCCCCAAATATGAAGAACATACCTCAATGCGGCAGCAAATATAGTCGATAGAAAAAGGCCTCTGAGAGCAGGAATATTTTCAAAAAGATGCATGATAAGATGGGGGAATAGCTGATCATAATCAGTTATATCTCCACTTAACACAGGATCGCAATTCGCAAATACAGCGTAGGTCACTAACCCAATGACTAGTTGAACAGATAGTAATACAACGTTTATTGGAAGCTGAAGATGAATAGCTCTAAAATAATGAAACGCAATCAATTTGGCAAGTGTGACTTTACCTTCGAGCAGTTTTGAGGTCTTTGCAGGCAAGATAACGCTGAATCTGAGTTTGATTTGTGGCATATATGCTGAGCACCATTCCGGCCCCACCGATAGCCAGAGTCCATATTGAATGGCGTACAAAAGGGTCTGGATTAAAACTAATTAAAATAATTCATAATGAAAAAATAATATTCAAGCTTTAAATACTTTCGGCTTTTCAAGAGCTTACTCAAAAGTATTAAGCCTTTGGCCTTTGCTAGCCAAATCCCAGACGCGTTCGATTCCACCTACCTCATAGCAACCAAATGTCATGATAAGGACGAGGCCAATAAACATCACGATCGTCTGTAGAAGATCTGTCCATACTACCGCCTTAAGTCCTCCCTGAAAAATAAATATTTTGACAGATTCTTCTTTGACAATAGAATAATCCCATTTTAGAGGAACCAGTTTTAAGTTAAACATCTTTCTTAAAAAACCTCAAAATGGAATGTTATGTCGAGATGTCAACTTTGCATAGAATGGGAAATGAATTAACATCCAGACGAAAAAATGGGAAAACAACTGGAAGTGGAGACATGGCCCTTCAAAATTTAATGAATTTTAAAAAGATTTCAGTATAGTTAATAAACTACAAAAAATCTTGCAGCATCATTCACTACATTCCCAGATCGGAGAATAGAAGGTGATTTTCTTAACAGCTACTCTAGAAAAAAAGCTTCTAGATAAACTCATAAAATAATAACACTATCAACTTTGATGATAACCTTAACCAGGACTTGTGACATTATTTCAACGGCGAATTGGGATGAAATTAAATTTCAAGGTTTGGCAGCGTTAGGTGATTACGTGTAAATTATTAAGTCAATAAATTGATAACCCGATAGAAAGGTAATAACCAAAATTATAATTAAAAATTTCGGTATTTAAGTGAATTTTAGGTAAAATGTAATATTTAACACAAATATTTCATTCAAATCGATAGCAAACCGATTAGGCAATGTGAGTTCTTCCTAAATGTTTAAAAAAACTGCATTTCGGGGCTGGCAAATATAAACTTACCAGAACAGTGTAAATTGTGCCAATCATACCTGCTGTAAGAATCGAAGCAGATTCAGGTAGCCCCGTAACTGCATAAACAAAGAATTTTTAATATTACATTTTCAGTGTTAGATAAGCATATATAAGAAAGTATACCGCGGCTAATGGCCAAAGCAGGTGCGTACAGAACAACAGCTATGTAGATAATCTAAAAATATGATGTTAAGGTTAGGGAAAATTACATGTAAAACTTATGATAAAAAGGGATAAAACGTACCATTTGCAAACAAAAAGCCATTGTAACAAACCATCGAAGTGAACGAGTGAATCTCAACTCTAAATACTAAACAAAATAATTACAAAAAATGTGTACCTCGTGACCACTAATGAGTTGCAACTTATAGAAGACTGGTGCATAGATTTCAGCGGAAAGTGGAAATGCAATACAATAGCCAAATACAATGCACCAGAATTCAGTACCAAAACGATAAAACTCAGAATTATTGCCCATAAGAGCAACAGCCGAAAGAAAACTTGCTAAAGTGCTACAAAGGATAGGAAGAAGACCCATTTTACGATTTCCCAAAAAGATCTCTTCTGCACCAACAGAAGAATCCTCATCGAAATTTTCAGTATTACGATTTTGGATCCGACGCCAACACTTGAGGATTGACGGTCTGAACCAATAGTATATTCCAACACATGTATATAACAGGAAGAGTACCGCCACAAGGAGATAATCGAGCCACCCGAGATATTTTGACATCTTAAACGACCGGGCTAAATGAAACCAAAATTACCAGACCCAAATTTATTAAGCCTTTTCGATAATAGACCAATAAGGTCACGGTATTCAAGGTAATGAACAGTTAAAACACTGGTGGTTTATTTATTTTACATTTATTTTATTTAAATTATGCCTTTAATAGCTAAAAAATAAAATCATACGTATTAGGCTGATTTTTTGGTGGAGATTGGTGAGGCAAATACTCTAGTGGTTCATTATATCCGTTAATAATCAAAAATGAGTGTTACGATAGGAATTTTGTTAGGGATTTAGCTGACTGGTCTTGCATGTCAATCTGCGCTGTTTGGCAGGGTTAAGCTAGGACTTGAAGAATTTCGGCAACATTATTAACAAAAGAAATTTTAATAGACTTGATGATGATTATGTAGCCCCATTTGTATCGAACGACCAAACATGTCAGCTGTTTGTGTATATTTGTCATAAACTATTTACCCACTTTAGATTCTTCTTTTGGACGAGACCTAGCCAATTTTCGGGATATATTTCCAATATAAGATGCTGGTAAAGGATAGTCTACAGGTAAGTTAACCTGTGGGAAAAGCATTAAAGCTTAGCGAAATGCTGCAATGACACTGATCAAATCACTCACAGATTTCTCGCATGTTCAGAAATATACAAGTGGGAAACCCCGTTTCTGTCAACATAATACGATTGAATTCAACAATTTAATCTAAAAATGCAAGTTCGATATTTCGATCATCATTCTGAAAATCGTCTTCCCCGATCAATTCATAGAACTGCACGGCATCATCAGAAGTAGTAGTGGTTGCTTTAGAATTAATTTTATAGAGCTCAAAGACTGTCGTGATATTGGCTAAGTGCGAGCTAATGCCGCCCTAAAGTTAAAAGTGATTTTTATTCATGTTAAGATTTGAGCTCCCCTACGAATTACATTTTACCTGCATTAAAACACCGTAAGACCGCCTTGTCCGATTTATCTCAAGTCTATTATTCGAGATATGCCTTACCGAACTGTACATAAAATATTTTCAACAGAATCTGCGGTCAGTTCCATGTATCTACGAGAAATTATATATTTGGAATTGCCTTTACAGAGATGAGTTCTATGCTTTTTTTAGTTCATAGTTATTTTTGAATAAATTGTTTATCTAACCTAACAACAGTTATAGAACGATAAAACTATTTAAGATATTTGATTGAATATTTTGCAAAACAAAATTTGCTTGTCATTGTCTTCTTTAGAGATAATGCTTGTAGAGTTACCTTAAATCCTCCCCTTGCACTAGTATTTAGTTCCCTTAATTTATGTTTGAAAACTATTTCCATAGTTTCCTCTATTTTCACCCTACACTCAAATTATACGGTCTGAGTTAGGGGTTTGCCAATTAAGTGCAGTGAACAACTGTCAAGTCGCAAACGAAGCGGATCTTATTAGATTACCGTTCTTCTGAAGCCCTAATGATGCGATGACTCAGGGCAATCAACAGCTATGGTATCGTCACTGTTAGGTCCCATAACAATACATAGTGGAAATGTTGGTGTTGAAGCCTAGAATGCCGCCAAAATCATCTCCGGTCCATGCAGCAACTGGAACTGGACCGGATCTCATTTCTGTTGTCCCAGAGATCCCAAAATTCTGGACAATAATCTTCGAAACAAGTGACTTCCTTCTGAAGATACAGAATAGATAGGAATATAATGTCACAAATATGATGAATTAATGTAATCAGGAAAGTGATATATCTTCTGTTTTTTAATATCTGAGTACATCTTGACACTAGAAGCAGCCAGAAAAAAATTATGTATGAATTAAACATTCAAAAACACTACTACGTCCGAACTCTGTAATACACAAATTTTCAATATATTTTGCATTCTTATCATAATGAAAGTTCATGTGAATTCTGCACAAATCCTAAGACAGTCATCTGCAAGACGGAATTCCGCTATTTGATGCATTGCCGGTCTGCTCGGCAGTCTTTTCTCGTCCCAGGTTCATCTGCATAAAGTCAATGACTATAAACCAACAAATTCCCATTGTCTCATATCCTTCAATTCTGGTTGGTTCTAATTCGCGGCCAATAGATTCCTTACCAGGATTCAACATCTAATTCATACTTTTCCTTCAAACAGCTGCGTTGCCTCTGTTCTGATTTGTCTAAACGAACTTTAGTAATAAGAACTTGTGAGTTTCGAGGTTTTTGAAATGGGGAATTTGATTAAAGGTTGGTTATCGCCACTTGAAAAGGTTTGCCCTTGACTTAAGCCTATGTCTTTGAATTTGTGAGGCAAGGTTTATCAGGAATATCTTTCCTATCAACACTTTTACATTCATTTATCCTCGTGCTGTAAATAAAAATAGGTCACACTTGTATCAAGTTATTGATGCTACTCCCAAATATTCTTATTGTTTAAATGTAGCAAAGTATATTAGAATAGCTTTCGGCAGTTTCACAATAAACTATAAAATTGTACCTTCCAAACGTACTTAAGTTCAATCATTATTATTATTTCAAATGGCAGGCTTTATGATAGTTATCATTAGCCCCTAGTTGACTTCAGCTTTCACAAGGGGGGGGGGGATATATATGGGCTTGAGGACAGTTAACAGCAGTTCATTAGTTGTCTTCTGGCTTCCAACTATCTCTGGGTTTCCGTCGTTGTATTTAGGGCTGGACACCGAATCAGGTGGGTCTTTTCCATTTCCTCCTGTAGGTCACATAGGGAGTATGTTGGCTGAGCGTATACTCCTATTCTGTAAAGATGCTTCGCCGGGCACTCATGCCAATTACGTAGTCTGAACTAAGCAACGGATTCGATTCTTGGCCAGTCGGCTATGTCGGAGAGCGCTTTAAGTACGCTACACCTTGAAGTCTTGAATTCTCTCCTGATTAAGGTCTTCATTGTGTGGAAAGATATCGTCTGGTCTATTCTTTGCA